GTACTCAGTATAAACCCATTATTTGCTAATAACACTTTGATGTTGGCACATGCATCTCTAATCTGTATGTATCTGGTTATTACTAGTCATGGTCAGTTGCACTTGTTTCCATTTCCTAGCTATTGTGACTAGACCAACAACAAACATGAATAAGCAAGTATCTCTGTAGTATAATATAGAGTCCTTTGGGTATATGCCCAAGAATGGTATAGCTGCACCTTGTGGTAGATTTATTTATAGCTTTTTGAGTAACCTCCACACTGATTTCCATAGTGGCTGTACCAGTTTGCACTTCCACCAGCAGTCAATAAGTGTGTCCCTTTATCCACATCCACACCAGCATTTTTGTTTGTTTGTTTGTTTGTTTGTTTGTTTGTTTGTTTTTTAACCTTAGCTGTTCTGACTGGGGTAAGATGAAATCTCAAGGTAGTTTTAATTTGTATTTCCCTGACGGATAAGGTTATTGAGCATTTTTTTAAAGTGTCTCTCAACCACTTGTATTTCATCTTTTGATATTTGCTTTGAATCTTTAGATACGTGTGTTTCATTTGGAATATCCATAAAAGTTAAGAAACTAGTAAGGGACCACTGGTGAGAGGGAGTCTTTCAAGGGAAGGACAATGGAATAAAAAAGAAAGGGGATAACGGAACCGGAAGCATCTACTGGGGTAGGGAATGGGAGGGCAGCATGGAGGAGGGAATATGGGAGGGGTAACTAACACTAAAGGCCTTTTGGAAAAATCATATGGCAATCTACCATTCTAGAAGTTCTCTAGACAAAATACATTAAAAAAAAAAAGTTTAAATTAAGTTACCCTCTAATAGGGCAACAATATCCCTGAATAGGACGCCTATATCAAATCTCTGCCACCTAAGGCTTAGGGACCATTGTGGAAGAGGGGATGAAAAAATAGAGCCAGTGGTGGTTGACCACAAGGAAACAGAGTTTTCCAGAAAGCTGGAAAGTCACTCATATGAACTCAGAGCAATGGTGACAATATGCACAAGTCCCATGCAAGCTCAAACCAGACAAAATCCCAGCATAGAAATGGGGAAACGAGTAAGAAACTTCAACCTTAGCCAAGGAACTAATGGTAACCAATAAGCACTGGGACAAAAAGAGTAGGTTTTCTTTAAGTGTGTGACTCTAGATAGGTTAACCAAGCTTCAGTGGACAGACATGCAGTGAAGGACATTTGGAGACACAAACTTTGCTTGATATGCCTTAGTATATATGACAAGTACATGAAAACCAGCAGGGGTGCATAGGAGAGGTGCAAATAGTCAGGGGGAGGGGTCTAACCATGATCAAAAGAGACTGTATGAAACTCAAGAAAATTCAATTTAAAAAAAAAGAAATTTTTAAAAATTATGACTAGAAGGCACATACCTCAACATAATAAAAGGCTATGTATGTTACAGATCTATAACCAACATTATACAAAATGGAGGGAAACTGACTTTTCCTCTGAAGTCTCGAATGAGCCAGTGGCACCCAATCTCTCTGTTCTTACTCCATATTGTGCTTGAAGTCTCAGCTACAGCAATAAGACAAGAGAGCAAAAATAAGAGGTACAAATAGGAAATGAATTATAATTAATCACTATTTTCAGACAACTTAATTTTATACTTAAAAGACCCTAAAGACTCTATGAGAAAGCTCTTAGACTTGATATTTGCAGCAAAGTAGGAGAGCCCAAAATCAACGTACAGAAATCAGTAGATTGTCTAAATACCAACAACAAACTTACTGAGAAAGAAATTGGAGAAAAAACCCTATTCACTACAGCTTAAAGGCCCCCCCAAAAATTATTTTATGTATGAATTTCTGGCTGGAACACATAATGGAGACCAGACTGGCCTCAGTTGCACAGAAATCCACCTGCCTCTGCCTCCTAAGTGCTGTGATTGAAGGTATAAGCTGCCATGCCCAGCATGAATTGCAGGGTTTTACTGCATATATACTTATATATTTACTGTATTATAAAGGTTTCTGCTTTCATATGGTTTATATGTAATGGTTTAATTATGGAAAACAATGACTTTAATATTTTCCTATGGCCATCTCTCAGCATGTATTGAATGTTTGGATTGCCTTGTGTTTTATTTTAAAATATCCTGACTCGGGTTTCATGAATTTTAGCTTGGGATTAGGACAGAATTGCCAACATTTTCTGAAATGCCCTTAAACCCACATCTTCCACTTTGTACTACATGTTTATATGAAATGGCATCCACAGCAATGGCAATTAGAAAAACAAAATATTCATTATTGGACCATTGAGATAGCTCACTGGATAAGGGCACTTGCCAGCAAGCCTGACAACCTAAGTTTGAACCCCAGAACCCACATGGTAAAAAGAGAGAACCAGTTCCCACAAGTTGTCCTCTAATCTAAACATACATGCTGTGGGACACACACACACACACACACACACACACACACACACACACACTCACTCACAAAATGCTAAAAATAGAAAAGACAGGAAGAAATTTCAGTTTAAAAACTATTGATCAAGTCTAAAAAAAATGTCGAAGGTTTTCTATGTCCATCAAATATTCAGCCAAGATTTAAATTTGTTTTGAGACAGGGTTACCCTGAGCTAACCTGGGGACTTTCTATGTAGACCAGGCTGGCCTCAGTCTCACAGAGATCTGCCTGCCTCTGCTTCCTGAGTGCTGAGACTAAAGGCATGAACCACTATGCCCAGGCTCCAGGATTTAATTCTTTATAGAAAAATAAACAAGCACAGCCATCCCATCATGCAGATTTACTTTCATCTTTAACAAATGGCAAAATCATAATATAGCAGAGAATTGATTTAAAACAAATTTATTATTTATTATCAGAAAATGTTTGACTTGTGTTGCTGCTTTATAAACCTATGTACCTGAGGTTGCACCAAAAGTGCTTGGGCAGAAAAGGATCAAGATGAAGGAAGTTAAAGAAACCTTGAGCTATATGACATTGACCTTCTTAGTCTCTAATCCTTAATTTCCTCCTCGGCAAATAGAGACAACAGCCTGTTTACATTTTATTTTTCTCCCATGTAAAATGAGGCTAATTTAGAATTATAAAGATTTAGTATTTTTAGTTCAGTAACTGGTAGCCGTAAGTGCTGAATTGGCACTTATTTTATTCCTTCTTCTTTCTTTGTTTAAGGCAGGGTCTCAATATTAGCCCTGCCTAGCTTGTAACTCATCGAGATCCCCCTGCCTCTACCTCTCAAGTGCTGGGATTAAAGGCATGCCAGCTATCTTGCTGTTTTAAACTTGATCTATTAAAGCTCTAATTGGCTTTTCTAGTGTTTAAACTGCTACTTTTTATCTTATGTACAGAAGTCACATATGTCTGTATGTATTCATGTATCCAGGGTACTCAGAATCAACTCTGGTGTCAATACCTTTAAAAACAGAACCAGGGGCGGGACAGATGGCTCAGCGGTTCAGAGCACTGACTGCTCTTGCAGAGGACCTGGGTTCAATTCTCAGCACCCACATGGCTGCTACGAACCGTCCTTAACTCCAGTTCCAGGGGAATCTGAAGCCCTCTTCTGACCTCTGCAGCATTGCACAACATGGGTGCACTCACATACATGCAGGCAATACACTCATACACATAAAATAAAAATAATAAAAAAAAATTTAAATACAGAACCAATAGTATTGCAAATGTTATCTCCAACTTGAACTTGGAAAAATTAATACAATGCCAGTTCTATAACATTAGAGAGATAATTGTTAGACATAGAGACTTTGAGAGCTTAGAGAGCTTTGCTGAATTAGCTTTGCTTTTTTCCTCCCTCTGACTCATATTCAACGTATGCTTATAATCTGAAGTTCCTCCAACCAACCACTATGATGCCAGCTATTGTCCAGCCTCCTTCCTGTTAAGGTTCAGATAGCCCCGCCCCTCACCAACAGGATCCCAAGGACTTCTGCTCCTGAGAAAAGGGAACCTAGCTGATAAGGACCTTGATCTTTGAAGTCAAGAGAAGCAGACTTTTCTCCACTGTTTGGCCAACACAGCAGGCTTCCCCTTTGATCTCTAAAGAAGACAGGTTTTAACAGTCCTGCACTCCCACCCCCCCCCAACTTTAAAAAAAAATACATCTTCCCACCTTCTGCAGGAAGCAAAAGCCTCCCCTTTAAAAAGACCCCAGCTCAAGACCTGGGAAGACATTTTCCCTGCCCCAAGGGAATCTGTCCCATGTGTTCCTTTGCTAATAAACCCTACATCAATGGAATTTTATCTGTGTCCTGGTGCCTCCTCCTCCATTTGCATGTTCTCCACCAACTTTTTACCTGTCACTTCCCACACTCTGCAGAAGGAGTCAAGCAGGCAGAAGTCCATCACCTCTCCCACCCAATCAGTTGACCTTAGCTGCATGAAGGGGAGGAGCCTCTGCCATATTGAGCATGGGGAACCAAACAACAAATGGAGGAAGAGGTAAGAGGCCTTTCGCAAAGCTGGGAGAGACTGGGTAGGACATGCTTGTTCCGGACCGCTTTCCGTCTCGCCGGCAAGAACGACGCGGGAGGACAAGTCAGGATCCTTCTGCAGCAGTTTATTTCATAAGCCTCTTACATAGCATACTAAGGATGAAGACCGAAGACGCCGAGAAGTGGGAGAGCTGTTGCTTATATATGCCCTAAAGGTCCCATTTATGACGTATAAGAAG